CGGCTATTTTTTGGTTGCAGCCGTCATTGTTGTTTGGCGGGTCCAGGCTGGGGATTTGAACCCACCACCTTAGGTGTACGTGGCTGGCGCCTTAGCCTGTTGAGCTATAGGCGCCGAGCCTAAAACTGAATTTTTTAAATGTCATGTAGGGGCCTTTTTTTTTTAGAGACAGAGTCTCAGTTTACCGCCCTCAGTATAGTGCCTTGGTGTCACAGCTCACAGCAACCTCCAACTCCTGGGTTTAGGCAATTCTCCTGCCTCAACCTCCCAAGTAGCTGGGACTACAGGCAACCGCCACAATGCCTGGTTATTTTTTGTCACAGTGTGGTGGGGGCCGGGTTTGAACCCTCCCACCCTCAGTATATGGGGCCAATGCCCTACTCACTGAGCCACAGGTGCCACCCTATAGGTGACATTTTAAACTGGGTGAATTAAATTAATTAGATTAAAAGTATATTGACCTGGGCAGCACCTGTGGCTCAAAGGGGTAGGGTGCCAGTCCCATATGCCGGAGGTGGCAGGTTCAGACCCAGCCCCAGCCAAAAACTACAAAAAAAAAAAAAAAGTATCTTGACCTAGAAAGATACTATCTTTGAGCTCTCATACAACTGTGTCCAAACCATTAAGGACAGTGGGTTGCAATATTTCATTCTGTTTGTCTCCTTAGTTTGTAGGTAGCTGAGAAGGGAATTTTCAGTGTCATTGGAAAAATTAATTACTCTATTGACATTTGAAGGTCCTTTGGTCCCTTCAGAACATTTCTAAGCTCATGATTCTAATCAAAATTTTGAGGTCAGGAAAAAGAATTGTGCCTTTCAGAAACTTTGACAGCATTTCATTTCATCTGGGAATCTTTCAGGAAACTATTAAACATTGGGTAAGCTTTCAAAGTCCAATGATGTCTACATTTTAATTTTATTTCTCATTTGTGGAAATCAGAAACTAGCCTGTGATCATAAATTATACTTAAAGTCTCTATTATTATCTCAAATAATGAAACAAATGTCTGTTTAAAATACCTCAAGGATTTCACCCACTACTACCTTATTTCCCCCAACAGCTGAGAATTAAAACATAAGTAATTTCCTCAAGGTTATGGGATATTAAGTGATATTTCTTTTTTGGTTGCTGTTTTTACATATTTTTGACAGAAAATACTAATTTATAATAAAATTGTAAAGACACGTAGGTAAGGGAATATTACATCCTTTGGGTTTTTTATCTTCTAATTTTATAAAGATTTGAGGTGTTTGGTTTTTTTTTGAGGCAGAGCCTCAAGCTTTCCCCCTGGGTAGAGTGCTGTGACATCACACTCACAGCAACCTCCAACTCCTGGGCTCAATGAGTCTCTTGCCTCAGCCTCCCAAGTAGCTGGGACCACAGGCACCCGCCACAACACCTGGCGTTTTTTTGATTGCAGCTGTCATTGTTGTTTGGTGGGCCCAGCTTGGATTTGAACCTGCCACCTCAGGTGTATGCGGCTGGCATCTTAGCCACTTAAGCCACAGGCGCCGAGCCAAAATTTGAGTTTTTTTTTTTTAAAAGACTCTAGGGGCTTGGCACCTGTGGCTCAAGTGGTTAAGGCGCCAGCCACATACACCTAAGGTGGTGGGTTCGAATCCAGCCCAGGCCCGTCAAACAACAATGATGGCTGCAACCAAAAAGTAGCCGGGCGTTATAGCAGGCACCGGTGGTCCCAGCTACTTGGGAGGC